AAGTGAAGGCGTATGTTTCCGCAAATCTGCGACCAGGGTTACGTGCATACTAGATTTCAGATTAGATGAAACATGGGGCGCATTAAGTGAGATTATGGGTTTCTGACTAACCGCTTGACCTTAGTTTAAGTTGTACTCAGTTACGTTAAAGAATAAGAAATAAGAAATAAATAACATTTTGAACAAAAAGCTGAAAAAAGACTATGAATTGGATTCAGATTGATAATCAAAACGTAGATAAAGTCGATCAACACCCCAAAGCTTGACAGTTATTATTGCCTCTTCATTGGTCGACATTTTATTCCATAATGTTACATAGTTTTGATGCTGTTTTATGTCTGATTGTGTTAGATTACATGTGGAAGCATCTGTTGTTTCGTTTTCTTCTTCACTTGTGTTTTTTGGAAATTCTGTACAGAAGATGTGTACTAGCGCCCCCTACAGTATAACAATGAAAACACGGATTCTAGGAGCACAATAATAGCTAAAATATATTTAGTACAAGTATAAGTCAAGTATACTTAAATGTCATTTTAAGTATATTTCTGAGAAGTACATAAAGCCCATTTCTGAGAAGTACATAAAAAGTAGACTAAAAGTATACTTTCCTATTTTTAGTTTAAAAGAAGTATACTAATAGCACACTTGAATAAACTTCTTTTTCGTAAGGGTTTATAACTACAGAATGTTGTGTACTTGGCAAATTCATGCATAATTGGTGTAAGGATACAGTCAGGAGTGTGGGAAGCAAAGGTGCCATCTTTAAGCACACTTGGGGATGTTTTCCGGGCACAATATCCACAGACAGGGTCAGAGTCATTTCTTCTATCAACTGCAGGGAACCACAGATTCAAATTGAATTACTAGTTTTTCTGTGTTAAAGAAACCAAACTGACTGATGTTGAAGCAAAACAAACTTTGGGGGAGGCATCTCCATTCTCTATTCACAGTTACCATTACATTTGATCAAATGTCATTGCTGGAAACCCCTCTGAGCTTATTCAGTAATCAAAATCAATAGGATTGTGAGAAGTTGCATTTTCTCACCATGATGTACTTTATTTCCTGTAATTAAACTGCAATCAGATACAGTAACCAAAAAAGAAATGAGAGACTGAAGGAATGTGTCACCAAAAGAAGATTTTAGATTAGATCTAAAAAAGTGGACTGAGCGGAACAGGTTGCATATACAGGTGCATTTATTTCAGTAATTCAACTCAAATTGTGAAACTCGTGTATTAAATAAATTCAATGCACACAGAGGGGAAAAAACATGTGCCTAATGTGTTTGACCTGGCACAATTTACTAAAATATCATGCATTAAACTGTAATCAGATACATTAAAAAGACAATAAATAAGGATTGAAGGAATGTCTCTCCAAAAGGAGCTTTTAGATGGCATCTATTTCATATACATTTTACATATGAACATGCATATGTTTACACTACTTAGACATAGATGTTTAGGATAAAGCGGCAGGAAAAAGGACACCACTGTGCCTCTGAGTGATACAGAACATACTGAACAAGGATTTCATATGAAGCCATTTAGATCAAAACATGCCCTTACAGAGGTGCAAGGTAAATCCTCTCTCCTCTCCACAGCCCTTTTCAAAATGTTTCATCACTTCAAAGCGAACATTCAAAAGCAGGTGAAAGACGACATATAATCCCTCAGTGTGTGGATTTATCCTCCCTTCTCCTGAGACAGGAAACAGACAGAGAAAAATACTCTGATTGAATGCCTTATCTGAATATGAGTACTATCACACTCATTTAAAGGACGTTAGGCTGGGGATCTGAGACCTGCAAACTCCATTCATACCACAGCGGGTGTCCGTATGTGTGCTGAGATCATCGCATTAAAACGACAATAGCATTCAAGCTGAGCAAACACACAAAGCAAGGCTATAATTCACCAGGCTCTCAAATTATACAGTATGACTCATGTATAAGAATGTAATGTTAGGCTAAATTTCCACCAGTCCTTTCTCAAAATATTATACATGTTTCCTGTTCTGTTTCCTTACTCATTATGAAGTCATCATTATTATACCAACAACAATAATTTATCATCATCGTTTCTTTCAAAAATTACTTCATCTCAATAATAACCAGTCATTACAGTGTGTTCTTTGAAAAAGACCAAAGACTACACAGACATCAGTATAAAATGAAATGTATCAAGACAACTCTTGGCAGGAAGCTGAGGTGAATTAAGCCAGTTGGATATATACGTTATGCAGTGGCCAAGCACATCAGATAATTCAGGAGAAATTAGAATTATGGATAATTCTAATTTGGCTAGGGTTGGAAAAAAAAACATGTTTTGTCACTCCATATATGATAAGCAGCATTGACTCATGCCAATAACATTGTCCACCTTACATAACTAAAGACAAATTGCTTTTGACAGGATCTTCCTTAAACATCCTGGACCAGTGGCTCTAAACTAACATGTCACCAGAGGGAAGGCACACTCATTTGCAAGGCAAATTCACAATTTTTGAGTCAAGTTTTCTGGCTCTCAGTGGGGGGGGTAGGGTAATGGATCCTCTCTTATACCTTGTATAAACATCCAATTACTGCTGCTAACTGACTAAGACTTAACTGCTCAACGAAAGACTGGCCATCAGTAAAAAAATATGATATGCTTTTCTCTGGAAGAATAGGATATGGAAATCATAACATCAAAACACAAATCAACGCTAATTAATCTTACCAAAACCCTGATTTTTAATAAAATAATACTGCAAAGCCTATATCCTACACAACATTAGTGACTAACTTCAAAAAGCAGTCAAAGCTACTGCAGGCTGATATAAACTCATGATTTTTCTCTGACCTTTTCCATACAGGAAGCTTTCAACAGTGGGTGCACCAGCTAGCAGGCACTCTGGGACACATCTTCGGTCAGATTGAGATTCATATTACCTTCCAATGTCCTTGCATTTCTTGTCCAAAACCTGTAACAAGTTTTTGTTTTTCTTCTTTGGTAGTGTGCTTCACTCTCCCTAGATCTGCATGGCAGCGTGATTTCACACTCAAAGCTTATAATGTATGTATGTGAAAGACAAAACACAAAGAGGCAATGAAGAATTTGCACAAAACAACTTTTCTTCCCAGGGTTTTCTTTTCAGACTTTGTCTTTATTCGAAATCCCATACTCTGCCAGTGTGATTGTTTATAATAGCAGTCTGTACCTTTTTAATTTGATGAGGTAATGTCTATTCTTGTTTCTTAGACTGTATATTCCAGTTCTTCTTAAGCCGTACAATAGCTTTGTGCGTACAAAGTCATTATTTTCTAAAAATCGTGTTATCCATAGCTCTGAGCTTGAGAAAACCAGTAAACTACTCACAAACTCATTATATTGAAAAGAGAAACTAGACATTATACTATGACAATGACAACTGTCTGATGACAATTTTCACTTTAAAGGTCTGGTTCACTTAAAAGATGTTTTCTATGGCTATACAGACTAGGGATTTCCAGACAGAAAGACTATATATATACTGTATATATATATATATATACAAAACAATGTTACAAAAGTTTTACCCGTCTGTGGAATAATAAACAACTCCCCTCCCTAAAACACATTACACGCTATTGTCTTAGGATCATTTCTGTCATGGCTCTGCAGCATAAATTTCCAAACCAAAGCACCTTCCCACACTAAATGTGGATTTCATAATTCAGTCCAAGCACATTATGCTTTCATTTTCAATGAGGGATGGATTTGTCACTCACACACCTTCACAAGCTCACACCAATTACCTAGTCAAGTCAAGTCAAGTCACCTTTATTTATATAGCGCTTTTAACAATACAGATTGTGTCAAAGCAACTGAACAGCATTAATTAGGAAAATAGTGTGTCAATAATGCAAAATGACAATAGTAAACACTAATTTTCAGTTAAAGGCAGTTCATCATTTAATTCAGTGATGTCATCATCCAGCTAAGTTCAGTTTAAATAGTATCTTTGCAATCACTTGCTTACAGTCAGACAAATTTCAGACAAAAATCAGACAACACTCATATTACCTAGTGTAATATCCATATTACTCAAATGCAAATCTATCTTTACAATACCTAGACACACAGTTGAATGTGATTGTGTGTGAAGCCTCAATCATTCTATTAGCACTCTGGAAATTAGATCTCTGGAAGCATTACAGTAACTCCCATTCCAAACAATTAGAAAGCTACAGCTCTCACACAATAAATTCAGTGTGCTTGACAAGCTGTTCAAATGGAACTTCAAGCTTGCCAGAAGCTCAATTTGTCTGACTGTAATGAGTCAAGTTAATGTACAAGAAAAACACTTTTGACAGCTTCAATTAAAATTCTGAATGCTTCTTTAAGAATCAAATTTAATGACACGTTATTTTGCATATAATTTCCATCTTATGTAACTAATTGTACAGTAACATCAATGTAATTAATAGGGTGACATATAAAGGCTAAGATTCTTAACCATTATGTTATAACCACCCCATTTAATACAGTACATCCTATAATTTTGACATTTTTATTTAGAACAAAACACAGCGTAAGAAAAATAAAGGTTTTTTTTCTCCAAAAGACGTTGTTTCCACCTGTAAAATTTTTCTCAGTACTTTAAATCAAACTCAGTCTTACTTAGTGCTTTAAATCAGAGACATATGACAAACTTTAAAAAGGTACTGATGTACTTTCAACAGTAAATTATTCTCCTTATAATTCAAACTGTAATCCTTTCCAGTCCCATCATTTTATATATATTTTTAAATGGTTACCTTTAATGCAACTAATGGTTATCCAGTGTAGTTTATTACAGCTAGTATTAAAACACCACAATCTTCCAGTGTTATAGTTTGTGTAGTAGCCTTCATGGTTATATTAAGTAGGCAGTCTCATCCTCTACATGGCCTGCTTTGATAGAATCGGTCACCCAAGATTCTCGAACAATTTTGAACTTCTTAGCATAAAGTCGCCTCAACGTCTTCAAGTCCAGAGTTCTTCTTTCACTTTCTACTATGACATGCGAGATTCCTTCCTTCAGTTTCTCCACAACAGTACCACCATGGAATCGGAATTCTAAGGCACGCGTGTCCAAACTTGTACCCCGTATGATGGTTTTTGGATCTCCAAGGTCAGCACACCGGTCAAAGTATGCAGTGCAAGGCCTAAAAATGCTAGTGGGCAAGTCATCCCAGGCATTCTCTGCTTCTATCTGTGCCACAGACGAACACTCAGCTTCTGTGGGGCCAATCCTTTCAAAGACTTCCCTCAGCTGTTGTTCATCAGTGTCAACATAATAACTGTCTCCATACTGATCATACTCTTTAGCAAAGTGGTCCCTGGTGGAAGGTGACATGTGGATCATGTGACGTGGTTGCCAGGGTATAACCTGCTTATTTTCCAGACACTCCAGCAGCCAAGTAGCCCACACCACATCATGTTGGTCTGAGGAGATGAGGTTCTTTACTCTCATGTTGTGCGCAGCTGCAATCACACAGTATGTGTCTTTCCCAGGGTTCTGCACAACAATGCCTCCACAGCGGGCCACAACTTTCTCAAGCTCTGCCTTGGAATGTTCATCATTGCCATTTATCACACAAAACTCCACATCTTCAAACATATCCGTCTCTTTGGTGACCGCTGATAAATCCTGAGATTTAAAGTGGTCAATGACTCCGATTGTCTTCTTGGGCTTGGCTACGAACTTGTGCTTCTTCTTTTCAGGCTGGTCCTCTTGGATATGTAGATGTCTGGATGCCAGCTTTCCAGAAGCTCTGGAGCGGAACTGGCTCAGTTCAGCCAAGGTCATGCACTGATACCACTCTTTGTCTTCTCTGATTCTTTCTATTCTTGGGAAGCGTAATGTGCAGTTGGTCTTATACATTTCACTAGAGACGATCTCTGCCGCTTTGACTTGTATGATCACTGAGTTGCGTGGTTCTATGTAAACCTCTGGTTTTTCTGTTCCACACAAGATGGCAGCTGGAGGATTATTTCTGTTGTAAACTTTCCAATGTTTGGCCAACTTCAGACCAAGATCGTACAGTTCTTTCATAGTGTAGCCTGATCCAATGCGGCAGAGGGTGTGGAACACTGTGGGCTTCTCCCCTGGACTCGGCACCTCTGCTACCGCACACAGAAAATGAGAGAGCATCCCGCTTCTCCTGCCTTTACCCCAGTAGCCTCCCACTATCAGCAGATCAAGCTCATCCATCAGACCATCTACATATTCAGGCTTAATTTTCACCCATCCTTCGCCCCGTTTATCTGGTTTGTAGATGGACATGGGATCCTTAACCATAATCCCCTCTTCCAGATTGTCAATGGCCTCATTGAGAGAATTCACCACTTCTTGCATGGTTTTGCCTTCAGATTTTGTGACCAACTGGATACGACCTTTGATCGGTGTTAAGACAGTCTCAAGAATTTCGTAGCGCTTCTTGAGAGGCTCATTTGCAAACTTCTGATTGTTTACTAACAAGACATCAAATACGCAAAAGCAGGTTTGCAAATCAGAGTCATCCATCAGCCTTTTAATATCAAACTTACTGCCCTTCTGCATGAAGGTCTCAGTTGTAGGGTTATAAGCCATCATCTCTCCATCCAATATGCAGTTTACCACATGAGGTTTGAAGACGTTGTGAATGTATGGTGTGAGGGAGCCCTCTAGTGGAGAGGCCCCAAACTGTTGCGTGTACTCATAAGAGTTCCTGGTATAGTATTTGTAAACATCTCCAGCTTTGTGCAGCTGAATGCGCTCACCATCAAACTTTGTCTCAATATAGAATGTCCGGTTGCCCATTTGCTTCTCTATCAGTCTGATGTTGGCAACAGCAGCCAGCATTGGTTTAAAAGCAGAAAACAGATCGATGGAGACCTCACTGAGGGACACAGATGGATCATGAAGCTGTCGGCAGACTTTATTCAGATCTGTGGTGACATTGTAGAGTTCTGGTGCATCTGGATGGAAAACCTGAAGTACTGTCTCCTTGCTAATGCCAAGTTTCATGTCCTTGAGGATCATTCTAATGAGCCACTTCTGTTCCAAAGCTGAACTCTGGGTTATCAGATGCAAAAGGCTTTTCTTCACTTGATCCTTCTGTTTGCTGGCATTGTTGATAGCTACGGAATCCAAGAAGTCATTGACTTCTTTAATGCTTAAATTCCCCTGACTTGTACACCTTTTTTTCAGGACGAAGTAGGCCATAAGGGCAAAGTCACCTGCTTCTCCTTGACTTGTGGTTGGAGTTCTATAATTTAGGAGTTTGTTTGCGTCAGGTCCATTTTTAGGCAGGCCTAAAACTTCAATATATAGTTTGGCAAGCATGTTTTCTTTTATACCGTAAGCCATTCGCTCTCGTTCAAATTGAGGCACAATAAGACGCATGGCTGCGTAAAATGAATCTGTGGTATTGGAATTGTCCTTGTGAAGTGCTGCATGGAAGTTCCTCCAAGAATCAATAAAATCCTTTAGAATTTTGCCTTTGTCTGGTCGGAGTTTGGTCTTTTGGATGTTCTCCAGAACTGTGCAGAGGTCGATGAACGGAACTTGTGCAGCAACAGCCGTCTGTGGTGTGGCATCACTTTTTGAGGCACCTTCCATCATTGCAGAGGACACCTGAGGGAAAAACCATAGCAGAGTTTATCTAAATAGTTTTGATTCATGTGCTTTTTACTAGAGCTAGTAAATAATTCCTTATATATGGAAATGTAATATATGACATATATATGTTACCTACATGGAGATATATAATTTTCACATATGTACATTATCCTTAATTTAATTATGTACACATGCTAATAATACCTATATGATGATTTTTATATGGTAATAATAGCAACCATATATCAACAATATATAGTTATATACGCAACTTTATCAAAAGAATATATACACAAAAAATCAGTATGTTTATAATACATTTCTATTTTTTATATGTACTTACTTAACATCAACATGTAGGCCTATTGACAGGTTTTAGGATGGATATACATGTACATGACAAATATGTCCAAAAATGTATTACACACACATAAACACATATATTGTATGAGCTAGATATTATATGCTAATATATTAAACTGCCCAATGTCTAATCAGTAATATAGTGTGTCACTCTAACCTAAATACATTAAGCAGACCATTACACTCATTCAGATACTGAGCTTTTTTCTTTTTTTTTTACACAAAGTATAACTAATCCTTTTCTTTCTTAAATGGAATACTAATTTCTAATAGGTTTCCAATATTTTTTGCTTTACAGAAATTTAACATATGTACATGGGCTTGAAGCATATGAAGAGCCTTTCACTGACTGATTAATTTTCCTTTAGGATCAGTAATATATGTGACCCTGGACCACAAAACCAGTCTTAAGTCGCTGGGGTATGTTTGTAGCAATAGTCAAAAATACATTGTATGGGTCAAAATTATTGATTTTTCTTTTATGCCAAAAATCATTAGGATATTAAGTAAAGATCATGTTCCATAAAGATATTTTGTAAATTTCCTACTGTAAATATATTAAAACGTAATTTTTGATTAGTAATATGCATTGCTAAGAACTTCATTTGGACAACTTTAAAGACAATTTTCTCAATATTAGAATTTTTGCACCCTCAGATTCCAGATTTTCAAATAGTTGTATCTCGGCCAAATATTGTCCTGTCCTAACAAACCATACATCAATGGAAAACTTATTTATTCAGCTTTCAGACGATGTATAAATCTCAATTTTGAAAAATTGACCCTTATGACTGGTTTTGTGGTCCAGGGTCACATATTGTGTCACTCTAACCTAAAAACATAAGCAGACCATTACACTCATACTGAGATTTTTTTTTTTACACAAAGTATAACGAATCATTTTCTTTCTTAAGCGGAATACTAACGGAATACTTTCACAAAGAAAATAACATAGCATATTTTAAAGCAACGACAATATATTTTAATAAATAATTAAAATAAATTGAAGTAAAAGTGGTGTAATAGTAATAGGCAAATGATCGCATTTAAAGATTTGGTAAACATTCAAACGCGTCATTTTGCCAAATAAAAAATATTTACATAGTAGACAACATAACATAAAATATTTACCTTTGAACGAAGACTTGCAATAACGTACTTCTGAAACGGGAGTCAGTGCAAGTCAACTTCCGTGTTATTTAAATGATGTTTATCAATATATTTTATGAACAATTTCCGGATTTATCCGCATATAATGTGATTTATTTAGCTTATCGTTCATGCTATGCTTTTTTATGCACGCAACGAATCTTATAAATTTCAACTGTCTACAGCGACTGTCAGGAAGTGTTTTAATATAACACAAGGCAGTTACTTCTTCTCCTGGTTTAATGGACACTCACTCACAAATAGCATTACCGCCACCTACAGTACATTAACTAAACTGAACGAAGATCTTAAAAATCCAGGGGTTACAATGGGTTTAAAAACATTAACTGTAGTAAAACTGTAGTTTTAGTACTTTTTTTTAGTTTTTAGTACTACAATGACATTTTTTAGTTTTTAGTACTACAACGACAACAGTCATAGATCTAGATCTATCATGGCCCAATCAGTCTAGTAGGGGTAGCTGCACATAGGCGGAGCGTGAAGGCTGAGGAAGGCTTAGCCTTCCCCTGGCCACAGCGAGTTGGGGCAAAAATGCCACTAAATTGGACTAAAATGCCCCTGCGCAAACAAATTAAATCTATTATGTCTGTTGCTAACAAAATGAAAATGATTAGAAAGTGTAGATTGCGTCATTAAATTAAGACCTGCTCATGTTGCACCGTATTTAATTTTAGGCGTTTTACAGTGTTGCGCATTATAACCAATCACATGCGATTCTGTTGCGCTTAGGAATGCAATGGCCAATCAGAGGGGTTCAGATGAGTCATCACTGAAACTCATCAGTTTTGAGTGAATTCCGCTTATTCTCTCATCATAAACAACAAAGCGCAGATGTAAGTACAACGTAAGAGATTCATTTCACAGTGTAGACAGCTTCAGTGATTAAAACAATAGTTTTGTTTTTTGAGAATGCTTAAACTCAGGATAGATCAAAGTTAATGATATGTCGCTTTCTGTATAATAGCTAATTTATTCACTGTTTTAATAACCTTGGAAAGGAAACGTTTTATAATGATCAATTTCTAATGTTTTTATTAAACTGTAATCATGTTAAATACAAATTCAGTCCCATTAAACATATTTTATTAGCCTACATGACACCCATGTCTGGTTCTTGCCTAAAAAGACGGGTTTGTGATGTTTGTAGTTAATAGATTTGGCTGCTTTTAGCCGTACCCTGGGGTTGGTTCACCCTCCGCCTATGATGCTGCGTTTTTTAATGCCCTAAGGTTACACACATGTTAAAGGGACAGATTGCCCAAAAATGAAAATTCATTTACTCACCCTCAAGTTGTTCCAAACCTGAATGAGTTTCTTACTTCTGCTAAACACAAAATAAGATATTTTGAAGAATGCGTGTAACCAAACAGTTGATGGTCCCCACTCTCTTCCATAGTATTTTTTTTTTTTTTTTTTTTGCTGGTCCTAAATTGGTCCTGAGCAGGAGCTAGTTGCTTAGGACCAGCTTAAACCAGCTCATGACCAGCTAAGGGCCAGCTCAAACCAGCAGCCATGCTTCAAAACATACCTAACCAGCATATGCTGGTTTTTCAACAGGGATAGCGAGGGTTTGTCAGGACGGAGCAAAGTAGCTAGTAGTAGCTCCATTCCGGTTGGCCCAAGTTTGGTTTGCAGACTTGGACCTGGAAGGCTTTCCTTGGGATATTCTGACCATGAGAGATCTTTTATCTCAGGCACAGGGGACAGTCAGGCCACAATTACATTACATGGATCGTATGACTCGATTCAAATTTTTTTCTCCCATGTGGCACAGATCAGACATGACCCACAAATGTGTAAGCAGGTAAAAAAAAAACATGGATTACGATATTCTCAGACCGGATTCAGGCATGTTGGGCTGTCAAAGCAGTCTTCGGAAGCAGGGTTTTAAAAGAAATATCTAGCAAATTATTCATCATTGTGCAACACAATTTTGTTCCCACATGCCAAAGCAACTTACTGCTTTACTTAATCATGAAAAAGGAGTTATTTATTAAGTTAAGTTTTTTGTTTTGTTTTTTCATGTGAGTGTCTGATTGCCATGGAAATGCCAGGTTACATACTGTATAGATTGTCTTATCTTAAATCTTGATTTATACATGCACATTGCCCTATGAAAACCTCTGTGAACATACTTGTCCAATGAAAAAGTGCGAGGGACAAATTTACATTTTATTAAAAGTGCGGGGATTATTGCATTATATGCAATAATCCCCTGCATATTCTAAGCCTCTGCCCAGACCCCAACATGTAGCTATAAACTGCTTTATTTCCTGAATTAATTTAGTTAAGTAAAGGTACACTTAAAAGAGTTAAGTGTACCTTTCAAAACTGAATTAAGAGTCTCTTTGTCTTAAATTTGAATTGAGGTAGAAAATCAGGATGCAGAATTGCAATTTGAAAGCAATGAAATAAAATTAAAATTAAATGTTAAATTGATTTTCAATTCTATTTAATTCATTTATAAGTCAATAGCAAGGTTTGTCAAGACAAACTTTATTAAATGATAGCAAAGAAAATGGTTTATATGCCTTACAGACAGAGATACTGTAGGTACTAAATGGTGTTTTACTAAGAAGAAAAATCAAAAAGAGAAATTGCTCAGGGTCATGACTATGGGCACAAGGTTTATACACTCAGGAGTTTTTAGGAATCCTTTGCTCTGGGAATTTGTTTTGGGTTAGAAGCCTGTGCCCTCAAAATAATCCAATCATAATACAAACATGAGCCCATGTGAAGCACTGGAATAGAAGAGCTGAGTAGGCAGAATGTGAATTTGTCAACAGGCCAGCAGTGTGGAATTTTACGTTTGGAATTTATATATTCACCACTAGAGGGAAGTACTTTCCATATGAGCTGGAACTGCACTGCTGGAACTGTGTCATAGCCCTGGCTTGTTTACATCAGTCCTGCAGTAGAGAAACCATTGAAAGGACAGTGCCCATCTTATCCCTCTTATCACCATCCTTCAGAACGACAACATCAGTGCTACCAATGGCTTGACACTTCATATCTCATCAAACAGAATTACATGCATGAAAATGAGGCACTAAGAAACAGTTCATTACATAACACTCGTGTGTGATTGTGCAGTTATGTAGATGTGTGTGTGCACAAGAGGTAGAGGGAACTGTGATTAAGTGAACCGAACTAGAGAGGGTGTGCTGAGCTGGGAAATGGTAAACAAGTGACGTCAGCATTTGTGGTGAGGAGTCCATTTTCAAGTGGAACCGAACATTGTGCATGTGTGTGTGTGTGTGTGTGTGTGTGTGTGTGTGTGTGTGTGTTTTGTGCAGAGGGTTTAGAGGAGGGTTAGTGCATGGAAAATGCTCTGTTGTCAGGGAAACTTTAGGTCAGATGATATCACAAAATCACTAATGGTCCTCTCTCGCTCTCACTTTTATCCACACACATGCATACGTACATATTCCCAGCTGTGAGGCTATTGCTGTTTTAATCTTCATAGGATTACTCACTGCACTGCACACCAAATGACTTCTGCATCACTGAACCACAACCTACAATGCTTCACAGAAGTCACAGAGGCCAGGGGGTGCATGGCATAACTATGACCATGCAAAAAAAAAAAAAGGCTGTCCAGAAATTACTATACTGATGTCTCTAACCTGCAATAAGGGAGAAAAGTTTACTTGACTTATTCATTTTAATGTTCTTGATATCTGTTTTCTTCTGTGTCTCTCTCCCTCCCACTAAAATCCCACAATGATGTTGTTGTGGAATTATCTACTGTTTGTACACAGGGTAGGACCAAGCAACTTCACTTCATCTTTTTTTTTAACTAGGACAAAACAAAATAAAATTCTGGAAAATACCCATATGGAAATGTAATATATGACATATATTGCCAAGAGTGAAGAGCAAGAGTGATGTTGTCATATATGTTAACTATAAGGCAAAGATATAAGTTTATAACATATAAAATTCCCTTAGTAAAATTTGTACATTTGTACTGTATGTTAATAATATATATTATGATTTTTATATAACCATTTGTCAACAATATCCTATATTTTATTTATATATGCAACTTTATTACAGTTTTTTCAACTGTTTACACACAAAATCTTTACTTGTCACACAATTTCTGAAACCTGACACTGAAACACCAGAAGCACACACCAAATCTGCAAAACCATCCTAATTCTCGGCCTTTGACTCAGTTTTTAATTTCATAAAACACTTTTTGCAAAACACAACACACAATTCTCTATGTAACACACAAAAATCTAACAGGAATTAATATTATGGCAAAGGTGTTTGCAAATGTTTGCTTTTGAGATGTGTTTGTGATATTTCTTGTAATATTTTGAATGCAGTGCTTCATTTTGCAAGAGATGTGAGGCATTTTGCATTTTGCGTCTGCAATTCTTGGATTTGTGTGTAAAGTTTTCAAAAAAAGAGGCAAAGTTTTGAAAATCTGTGTAAGCAGTGGAGAAAAAACTGTAAAAGCATTTTCTCAAAACAGTGAAAGCCACTGGCTTTCAGTGTATAAACAAAAACAGTTGAAACATTCTTCAAAATAATTTTCCATGGAGGTAATAATGTCATACAGTTTTGGAATGACATGAGGATAAGTAAATGATGACAGAATTTTATTTTTGGATGTATCCCTTTAAACACTGGGCATTGCTATATATGTTACAGAGTGATTATACAGTGGCCAAAGTTACTTGACCTTTTCCCCCAAATTTAGAATGACCCACACCTGCTCTCAAAAACACCTCAGGCTAGTTTGCTAGGTCGGCGTGTGTGAGTGTGTGCGTGTGTGTGTGTGTGTACCTGTTTTTCTATTCTGGTGGGGACTTAAACCTGAATACACACAGACTCATGGGGACTCGTGTCACGGTGGGGACCTAAATTGAGGTCCCCACGGGTAAACAAGCTAATAAATCACACAGAATGAAGTTTTTTGAAAATCTAAAAATGCAGAAAGTTTCCTGTGAGGGGTAAGTTTAGGGGTAGGGTTGGTGTAGGACAATAGAATATACGGTCTGTACAGTAGAAAAACCATTACGCCTATGGAGAGTCCCCACAAGGATAGCAAACCAGACATATGTGTGTGTGTGTGTGTGTGTGTGTGTGTGAGTGTGAGTGTTTATTTGTCTCAGGTTTTTATAGGAAAAAAAGGCTACCGAAAAAGAA